GTCTCCCAAAAATATATAAAATTGGCCAGGCGCGGTGGCTCATGCCTGTAATCCCACCACTTTGGGAAACCAAGGCAGGTGGATCATGAGGTCAGGAGATCGAGACCATCCTGGCTAACCCAGTGAAACCCTGTCTCCACTAAAAATACAAAAAAATTGCCAGGTGTGGTGGCGGGCTCCTGTAGTCCCAGCTACTCAGGAGGCTAAGGCAGGAGAATGGTGTGAACCCAGGAGGTGGAGCTTGCAGTGAGCCAAGATCGTGCCACTGCACTCCAGCCTGAGCAACAGAGTGAGACTCCGTCTCAAAAAAAAAAAAAAAGTATAAAATCAAGCTGTACCTTGACCACCTTGGTTACATGTTATTAGGACCTCCTGAAGCTGTATCACAAGTGCATCCTTAACCTTGGCAAAATAAACATTCTAAATTGATTGAGATCTGTCCCAGATACTTTTGGTTTGCAAGGTAGAAACAGGACTATTGAAGCAAGGCACTTTGTCAAGGGGTGGATGGGAAATGAAAGCTAGAGCAATCAGAATTCCATCTTCCCGAACTTTAACTCTTAGACTTTGTATTAACACTTGTAGGTTGTTAATTCTAATAGCATCAGATGAGACTATACAATGGTTCTTTCCACAGAAACTCTAAAGTTGCACAGTTTCTGTCCTTTCAGGCTTCCTTTCAAACCTGTAGTTATTCCATATGAGTCCTATAAAGACGTGCTTTTTGCTTAAATTGGTAGGAACTGTTTTCTGTTGCTTGCAACCAAAAAACCCTAAGAAATACAATGCTCTTTCTCATTCTCCTCTTCTGCTGGTGATCCTTTAAATAGCACAGAGCTCTATTTCTCACTCCTCTTTTTTCATTATGCATTCTTCCTCTAAATATTCCACTTTCATAGCTTTAATAATCACCTATATACTGATTCATAAACATGTATCTCTATTTCAGATAGTTCCCTTTCCCATAGGAACCTTAAACTCAATCTGCCCAAAAGTAAACTCGACTTTCCTTGCAAACTGCTTTTTCTCCTGTATTTTCTATCTCAATGAAAATTCACCACCATTCACCCAGATTTTTACACCATAAACTGTTGAGTCTTAATTTGACTCTTTCCTCTTCTTCGTACTCTGTGCTTCCGCATTTTAACCCTTAACATTCAATTAATTATGACTTTTTTTTCCAGTTTCCCTTGTAATTCTGCAATCTTCTCATTCATCATGTTTGTTCAACATAATTATGTCTAATTGATTTCCTACCTCCAATATTTTCTCCTAAAAAATACTCCATATCACAACTAGAATGGTCTAAATTTTTTTTAAAAAGGCCGGGCACAGTGGCTCATGCCTGTAATTCCAGCACTTTGGGAGGCCAAGGTGGGCAGATCACAAGGTCAGGAGATTGAGACCATCCTGGCTAACATGGTGAAACCCCCATCTCTACTAAAAATACAAAAAAAAAAAAAATTAGCCGGGTGTAGTGGTGGGCGCCCTATAGTCCCAGCTACTCGGGAGACTGAGGCAGGAGAATGTCGTGAACCAGGGAGGTGGAGGTTGCGGTGAGCCGAGATCACACCACTGCACTCCAGCCAGGGCGACAGAGCGAGACTCCATCTCAAAAAATAAATAAATTTTAAAAAATAAAAATAAATAAAAATTTCTTATCATTTTCTTGTATGTACTGTTCCAATGCTTCTCTATTGCCCTTGGGAGAAAGTCCAAATTCACCCATCTTTATGGTACACACCATCATACTAAGCCATTTACAGTACAAATGACGCCATGATTCTGTCACAATACAACACACCTTTGTAACCCCATTTCCTTTGCCTAAAGTGCCTTTTCTAAACTTCTCTCCATTGCTAACTTCTATTTGTCTTTCAAATCTCAAATTGATACCCTCCCAGAGGAGCAGTTCCTGAACCTTCTAGACCTATGATGCCCAATATGATAGCCACCAACCATGCCTAGTTATTGAGCACTGAATTATGGCTACCCTGAATTTAGATGTACTGAAAGTGTAAAATACACCAGATTTTGAAGGCTTAGTATGGAAAAAAAGTCAAATATCTTAGTAATAATTTTTATATTGGTTACATGTAAAATATTTTGGACATATTATTAAACAGAATATAATTTTGAAATTAGTTTCCTTTTTTAACTTTATGTGTCTAAAAGAAAACTCAAAATTATATGTGGCTTGTATCAAATTTTAACTGGACACCAGCTGGCCTAGATAAGCCCCTTTTTTCAGTGCCTTATAGTTATTTCTTTACTAGCATTTGTTTTATATTTTAAAATTACTAGACTGTCTTCTGCACTAGACTGCAAGCACCTTAGGAACAAGAGGCTTTCTTGGTCAACATAGTAATACCAGAGGTAAGGCTGCTAAAGTACACACAGACAATCTTCATTATTTTTTGATTCCACATTTGCAAATTTGCATACTTGACATAATTTACTTATAATCTCAAAATCAATATTTGCAGTGCTTTTGAAGTCATTTGTGAACACGCAAAGAGACTTGCGCCACCTAATGCACATTTAGCTGAGGTCAAACACAGTGATGCTCTCCCTTCTTGTTTCAGTTGTCAAACTGTAAACCAGTATTGTTTTCAGTCTGTTTATCACCAGTTTTTGCATTGCTGTGCTTTTTGTTGGTGATTTCACTGTACGAAATGGCCCCCAAACACTGTGCTGAAGAGCTGTCTAATGTTCCAAAACACAAGAAAGCTACAGTGTGCCTTACAGAGAGCATATGTTAGATAAGCTACCTTCAGGCATGAATTACATTGCTGTTGGCCATGAGTTTAATGTTAATGAATCAACAATATATAGTAAATCAGGTGTCTCTAAACAGAAACACACTAAAAATCACATATTAACAAATGTTGTGGCCCAGAGGCTCAGAGGAACCTAACCCTGTATTTCCCTTAGGAGCACCGGTTTAGTATTTGCCAATTCAGTGTTCTTACTGATTTCAGGAGAACTGACTGTATTTATTGAATAAGTGATGCCCAGTCATTTGATTCCAAACCCAAATCTTTTGTGAATGCAGTATATGTTGGTAGGTAGAGCAGTCACTCTGGAACCAAACTGCCTATGTTCCAATCTTGGTTTTCTGACTTACTAGCTTTGTATGCTGGGGCAAATTGCTTAACTTTTCTCCTTTTTCCATAACTAAAAATGCAGGTTAAAACAGTACTGTTAATATTTGCCAGGGCCTGGGTATAGAAGGAGGAAACTGATCACGAAAAGCCACTAGAAAACTTTTGGAATGCGGGAAATAGTCCATATCCTGATCATAGCAGATGATCAAGATATCTTTTTCAAAACTCATAAAAAGAAAAGGGACAAATTTTACTTTATGTGAATAACTTAAAAAGGTTAAAAATAGAGAGCAGCAGGCACAATCAAAGGAATAATGCACATCAAAAATTTAGTACACTACCTGCCTATATAAATACTAAATACTATTAGTGATCATTCTAAAAACAACAGGGAAAAGTTAGGAGGTATAAGGAAAAGCAAAAACACCTAATGAACTGAGATTCTAATCTGGCTCTTTCTTTTTGGGGGGTTGGGCGTGGGGAGGGGGGTGGTCTCACTCTGTCACCCAGGTTGGAGTGCAGTGGCCTGATCTCGGCTCACTGCAATATCCAACTCCCAGGCTCAAGTGATCCTCCCACCTCAGCCTCCCGAGTAGCTGGGACCACAGGTGCATGGCACCACACCCACCTAATTTTTTGTACTTTTGGTAGAGATGGGGTTTCACCATGCTGCCCAGGCTGATCTTGAACTCCTGAGCTCAGGCAACCCACCTGCCTCAGCCTCCCAACGTGCTGGTATTACAGGCATGAGCCACTGCTGTAATGACTCCTTCGTATATTAGCTAGAGGCTGAATGCAGTACATGAGAGGGCAGTAACTTATTGCAAAAGTTAAATTGGACATGTTTGAAAGATATGTGAAAACTGTAGAGGCACATAGGAATGTGAGGTATGGGATTATTCATGAGACAGCAATAGGAAATCAAAGTACCACATAAATGCGGGTGTGGAACGGGAAATAATTTCCTAGGTCACCTCCCCAAGAGGATACTGTGGTGAGTTGTGAAATGAAACTGTGAAGGGGGAGCACATCTCTTTTAAGAACCTTTCTATTGCAGTCTACAAGCTCTAGATCAATTTTGAAGACCATCTAAGCGTTCTAATGTGGCAGGGTTAAACCCCAAACTCTAAGGAATGCCAATGCCAGGAGGAAAGAAGGCATGAGGTGGCAGAACACCTCTCTGGACCCACAATGCCGTAGAAGTCAGACACCCTATGCCTCCACAACTTCACAATAGCCTTTGCTGTGAGAAGTGGATTAATTCATTTCACTGCTGGCTTGTTAGCTGGCGGATGCTTCAGGAGTTCCTACCCGGGGGAGCAGCGCTGACTCTACAGGGGCACCCCGCGCCAGTCGCTGCCAAAAATCTCACCAAGGGGTGAATGGGGTCCTCAGGACCCGCGGTGCCGAGCTAGGTATTAAAATACCGCACCTGAGTTCTTCTTCAAGGACCAGGAGGCGGTTCGAACCCCAAGAAAGGCTGCAAGCTGAACCAGAAGCTCGAACCTAAAGTTCGCTTCACAGCCAGCCACACTGGCACTCGCTGAATCGGCGCGCCTCGCGAGTTCTGACAATTGTCATGTGATAACTGCCACGCACCTGATGGCAGAAGCCACTGGATGCCTTGCTTGGTTCCCATTAAAGTCGACTGCGACCCCAACGCAACAAACCTAAGAGTTGGAAGGCGCAAGTTCCTCTGCCAGCGAGCTCACCCTCGGCAATCAGACTGCTGAAAGTGCGCTCCACGCCGGAAGTGCACTAATCCGCAGCACGTGGGGTTGCCAGGGCGCTCTTCACGTGACTGGGCGGAGCCTCAGGAATCTGGTAGCCAATGGTAGCCCGAGAGGGCGGTGCCTGTGACGCTCCGGGGCCTATCCCGGAAATGGGGCTGAGGTGGGGGCGGGTAAGGGCGGGGAGGCTGGGGTGTGGAAAGTGTGGCGGCCCCGCCCCGTCTCTTGGAACTGCCGCGGCCGCCACCGCCGCCGCCGGCGCCGCAGCTGTAGGGGACCAGCGCGGGTACGCAGACGAAAGGCACTCTTTGCCAGCTGAAAGGTGAGGACCTGGGGAAAAGCTGGTGGGGATGGGGCCAGAGCGAGGCAGGGCCGGGGAAGGCGCCCAGAGCCAAGCGCTGACCGAGGGAAGGAAGGAGAATGGATGGGGGAACAGAGGCGAGCGCGGGACCGCCGTGGCTCAGGCCCTGGTGGGGCCGGGCCGGGCCGAGCTGAGCCGAGGATGCCGGCAGAACAGGGGGCGCCTGTGCGGCCGCGGCGGCGGCGTTGAAGGGTGGAGGGCGGGGTGCGCGCCAGCTAGCAGAGGGCCGGGTGCCGCCGACCAGGTTCTGTTACCCCGCATCCTTCGCGGGGACGTGCGGCCTGGGCTGGATACCCCGCAGTAGGGTTCGGGGCGGCGGCCGAGTGCTGGGCGGCGCGGGAAGGTCGCCGGCTTCTGCGGTGGGGCGATGGGGGCCGCAACCTGCTGTTTCCAGCGCGGAGGAGCGCCCAGGGCGGGTGTCCCCACCCTCAGCGAGCTCTTCTGCGACTTCTCATCCCACCTCCCCAAGCAATAGCTGGAAAAGTTTGTAGAGGCCAGAGTTAGAAAGTGTCCACTAGTCTAGGGTGGGTGTTCCTTACATGCAGAAATATCAGGCCCGTGATGCTTGGCACATAACTTGTCCGAAATGAGACGTTTCCGTGCCTACATACCCGTTGCTGAAAAGCAAACACAAACTTTTTGTGTGTAGTTCCCACGGAAAAACTACCATCTCCCCAGCCCACCATGGCGGACGAAATTGATTTCACTACTGGAGATGCCGGGGCTTCCAGCACTTACCCTATGCAGTGTTCGGCCTTGCGCAAAAACGGCTTCGTGGTGCTCAAAGGACGACCATGCAAAATAGTGGAAATGTCAACTTCCAAAACTGGAAAGCATGGGCATGCCAAGGTAAGTGCCCTTGCAGATCAGGCTTTGGCTTTGGCGTTGGGACTGTGATCATTTGTGTTCTGTTACAGATCATGAGATTTCTATACTTAAAATTTTGTAATAAGCACTGTTTTTTCCTTCCCACAATTACTGGGTGATCAGTTATTACGTTGAATACTGAAAGGTAGCAGTCCTTTCTTGGGCCCTTAACAATGTTCATTAACTGGGAACTGAAACTTTCCTGAATCCTAGTGGCTTAGAAGATCTATTCAGTTTACAGATGAGAAAACCTGTTCCAGCAATTCTAAGAAACCTACACTTTATTTTTCTTGTGTAATCTCATAATTGAATCACTGGACTATATTGGGTCTTGACATGTGATACTGTTTAGTTGTTTACTGCCTCCTAATTGTAAGACCACTACTTTTTTTTAAGTAAAATCAGATGACCTTGGAAGGCGGAGAAAAGGAATCTGTCGTAATCAGCGTTGGTATTGTGCTCTTGTGTGTGTAATGAGTGATATACTTGGCAGAGATTAAACAGGTTTCCTGTTCTCCTCTGTTAGGTTCACCTTGTTGGAATTGATATTTTCACGGGCAAAAAATATGAAGATATTTGTCCTTCTACTCACAACATGGATGTTCCAAATATTAAGAGAAATGATTATCAAGTAAGCACTGATTTTCTTTAGAATGTTGCTTGTTTCTTCAAGGTGCAAATACTTTGTACTATCAGTAATAATTTGACAAAACCCAAGAGTAGTTTTGTAGGTTTTTCTAACCAATTATTAGGCACCACCTATCTTAGAAACTGGAGAAATAGTGATGTTTAACACTTGTACCTTTTCTAGGATTATTGCTAGTTTGCTATTTTTTTTCACATTCTTGCATTTTTTAAAAAGTCAAATACTTATTAGTGCTCTTCAGGCCAAGTGACTGCATATTGCAATTAAGTCCAATGTTTAGTAAAAGTACTATTCTTTCTGTTATTATATATTTCTTATTCTAATTTAAAACATCCCTCCTGGATGTTTTGTTTCTTTTCACTGATCAGACCTAAGACATTCAAGAAACTACTGAAATTCATGTTCCTACCAAGTTTTTGTATTAATGAATGTTAGTCAGAACCTGACATTCTTAAGTAGGGAAATAAGTTGAAAGCCATAAATATAAAGTACATGGTCACTGAGTATGGTGAAGAAAACACGAAAACTATGTAATTGGTTAAATTATGTTCAGTGACCATGCTGTGACCTTTTGCTAAATTATATATGTAAATTTCAAGTTTTAGTTCCAGCTATACATTTGGGTAGGTCATATTTAATGATAGCATTTTGTTGTTTGGAGTACTGATGATAACCAAATAATTGACCTTATAGGATGTGGAAGCTCAGATTACTCATAACTAAAGCTTTTCTTGAAAGTCTTCAGTTTCTACATCAAGCATATCATATATCAAACTCATTTCTGCTCATTTTACGTAGTAAAAACTACATAGTTGACACTGGTATTTGTTTTATCCAACTTAAACTGATTTTTTTCTGTACCCTTTATTGTATAAATTTTTTTAATGTTGCTATCAACTGCACTTATGCAATGATTTCCTTTTGCTGTTTGTCCACATGCAAACATAGTTTTTTGTAGTTTTAATCTAGTAAACACTTCTATGTTTTCATTTTCCGACTTGTCATAAATGTTTTCTAGGTTGCTTTGAAGTCTTTGTAGAAATTTGAATTGTCTTGCAAGTGGGTTTTTTTAACCAGGTAGATCTGGGTTTGGATCTAGTTCTGTCACTTTCTAGTTGGATGATTTTGGACAAGTAATACAACTTTTCTGAGCCTGTCTTCTCATCTACAAAATAGGGATAATATGAGGATTAAATGAGAAAATGTACCCCATAAGAACTCCATAAGTAGATATGTACCAAAAAGTACTGTTCTGCTTCCCCCTTTTCCTATGTAAAAATTCTACTTGATCATTTCATTATTGTTGGAACACCAAATTTGATGTGGTTCATAGTGGGTGCTCAAAAAAATTTGTTAAATATATATTCTACTTAATCATTTCATTATTGTTGGAGCACCAAATTTGATGTGGTACATAGTAGGTGCTCAAAAAATATTTGTTAAATGTGTGATTACTGAATATGGTAAGGATAGTACAGTAGGCTAAAGCTGAGCATAGAATTTTGTCAAAATTGGGTTTCTCTTCATCTTAAAATGTGAATGCTTCAAATATTCAGTATTAATTATATTCAGTAATATTCATTCAATATAGAATGCTTTTGCCTGTTGCATGTTTCAGAAAGATGGTATCAGCAGTTCAGATAATTACTATTATACCATATTAAGGTTAGCCAGTCATTTATCGGAGCTCAAGACTTAAAGGAAAAATTTGATTTGGATCCTAGACTAGGATGAGGCGAATGAAGTGAGGGAGGCTCTTGCCTCAGGCACAAAATTTTAAATAGAGACAGAACTAGTAACAATGACAAGCCATATAGGAGCTCAAGGCGCAAAGAAAATTCTGATCCCATCTTTATTAAAAATGTTGGTATTTTATCATAGGATTTTTTCATTAATTCTAATTTTTTGAAATATTGCATTAAAGTGCTTATCTGGTCACTGAGGTTTTTTTGGTGCCTTCTTTAATTTTGCACCCAAGACAAGTGTCTTACTTCACCCTTGTCCCAGCCCTTGGTATGTACACCGCACTGCAAAGTGGGTAAGAGGATGATTTAAGCCAGTCAGGCTTGGTCCTGGTCTCTACTTTGGCACTTAATAGCTGTGTGACCTTGGTTGACAAGTTACTTAACCTGTTTTGCTTTAATTTCTTTCTTTGTAAAGCAAAGACATAAATAATAATGTCTTATGGGATCATTTTGAGGTTTTATTAGTTAATACAACAATGCCTGGCATAGAAATTACTCATTATTTCTCAGCTCTTCATTTTCAAGTCAGCATAGAAAACTTATTTCTGTTAATTTTTTTAAAAAAACGAGTTCTCCAGCCTGGGCAATGTGGTGAAACCCTATCTTTACAAAATACGGAAAAAAAAAAAAAAATAGCCAGGCATGGTGGTGTATGCAGCTGTAGTCCCAGCAGACCCAGAGGCTGAGGTGGGAGGATCACTTGAGCCCCCGGAGGTCAAGGCTGCACTGAGCCATGATCACTCCACTGCGCTCCAGCCTGGGCGACAGAATGGGATGCTGTATCAAAAAAAAAAAAAAAAAAAAAGTTCTGTGAGCCTTTCTATTTATATTTATTGTGCTTTGGTGATCTTCACTTACCTAACCAAGTGCCTTGATTAAATACCTACTCATTATTTGGCTGTGTGTAATCCTTTATATTTGCTGAGTTCAATATTTTGAGTGCCAGTTTGGCAGTTGGCTAAAGAGAAATATGTATTCTGTTCATTATAGTAATTAAAAAGTAAACAGGAAACAAAACATATTAATATTTATAGTTTTAATTTTATGTGTTTTAAAATAAGTTCAGAATGAAAGAAAAAATGTCTCCTGACTTCTTTTTCAAGATTAGCTTGGATTAGAATTGCTTATTTACATTACTTCTCCCAAAAGTAGTTATAGATGTCTGGGACTCAGTGATGGTGTAAATTATAAATACATCCAGATATAACTTTGGGAATCCCCAAATTCATAGAGAAATGCTTATTCAGACGTTAGTACTCTCTGGAATCATATTTCTTTGGAAAGTTCTGTGTTGATATAAACCTCACCACAAGTTAAATGCCGTTTCTGCATTTACTAAAGTTTTACCTGCCATTTGAAGAACATTTTCCAGAAGGAAAACTAATTACTACAGACACATAAAGTACATATTGTGGATCTTTGGTTTATTAGTGAATTGCCAAAACTGACTATTAAATCCCACTATATTCTTCAAATATGTAGTATATTATTTGAATGTTGAGATACGTTAATTGAATTCAAATAAGTAGTATATCATTTGAATGCTGAGATGTGTTAATTGAATTCAAATAAGTAGTATATTATTTGAATGTTTAGATATGTTAATTGAATTCCCTGAGCTTAAAGTCTTTCTATAATTTTTACCTGTTTCATGGGAATCCTTGTGTTCTCAGATGGAAGCAGTCTTTCTTTGGAAATAGAAAACCTCTAAACCAATAGGGCCCAATATTGCAAGGACTAGAAGCAAATATTTGTTACAGGATCATTAAGGGTGATCATGAGAAGAGCCACTAACTTTAGTTCCTAGACCTGTGTATTCTATTATGGGAAAAATAGCACCATATATTGAAATATATTGTAACCTGCCAAAAACAACACTCTAGGCCAACAAAGTACCATCCAGCAGGTACTATATGTGAGTCTTCACTAGGCCGATCCACAGAGGCAAGCTGTTTTGGAATGATAGGGTACATGAACCAGCGAATTATCTGGGTGTTTCACTCCCTCGTTACTTTGCCTGTAAAATTAGTTTTCTAGTCAGAAGTGATGCAATGTGAGATACTATGACAGGAATGAGGCATTCTGTAAATTGGGATGAGATTTTAGCAGAAGCACTGCAGGCAAGAAAGGCAAATCCATATGTAGAGTAAAACTACTGCAATAAGAAAAAATTGCTGCCTGTTTCATGATGGAAGGGGTGCAGTCAGGTGACCAGCTGTTCTTCTGGGGAACATATCAAGACTTCTTGTTCATTTGTTCTATGTTCTTCCTCTGCCATATCAAGACTCTCCTGTTTCTGTGAGGTTTTCAGTAGTGGCT